CAGCATGCCATTCCGCCTCGATCGCTTCCTACAAAAAATAGCAGGTGAAGATGTGATCAAAGAGCCAAGTCAATAAGCAAAGGTGGCGTTACATATGGTGACGTCACCTTACATACTGGGCTGTGACCAGTACTAGGCTGCTGCTATAAATGGAGGACAAAGGCGCAGCTCCTAATGAGGTTAAATGGGAATCACTGCCAGAAATATTCCCTTTTGCCTTTGGTGATCATGGAGCTGATCAAGGAGCACCACCCATCATAAGAATGTGACACACTCGTGAAATGCATGCATGCTTAATATGTTTGCAAAAGGGGGAAGGAAGTAATACTCTGGAAATGTGCCATGAGCCAGTGTCTGTTCTGTTACAAGAGTCTACATTCATAGGACGGTGTCCATTTTCGGGAGAGGGGTGACCCCTAACTGCACGTACACTGATGCCTCTCCAAAGAGATGTTTGCTACAGGTTTGTGATCCACCAATGACACAAAGTCCACTGGAACGTTTGAATAGATAGCATATTCCACCCCCATCCACCAAGTCCTCCTCCATGTGGAGGTGTGGATAGTGAGGAGTGTCCTTCCTACTCCTCTAGGTGAATCGTTTATGAGGAGGAAGATCAGGGAGAGAGCTCACCTTCAGGGCGCTTACTACACAGCTGTCAGATCGATCTTTCGTTCCCTCCTAAGATCTTCTGACCTCTCTCTATAGCAGAACCTGACTAACTCTGCGTTCCCCCCCGGCTGTTTGCAGGGCTGACTGAATCCACCATGCCCCCTGGGAGTGGGTGTATTTCTCTTCTCAAAGGCGAGCTACGTCACCAAGCAAAGAATGAAAACTCACACCCCAAAATTATGTCCTAGTATAGTCTTGGTCTTTAGTGTCGAACACCCATCCATCCATTTTCTGTCCCCGCTTGTCCTAGCACTCTTTAAATGGATACGTTAGCTCCATATTCCCCCACATGACTACACGTTTGCGTTGCAAATGGGGACAAAGAGGAAAGGCTGATGACAATCAGCTGTCGCGCATTAGTCACGGACCAGTGCCAGAGTTATTACGCAACTTTTCCAGTGCTTTATTCTTGCTCTCAGAGAAATCCCGGGCGTCCTCGTAGATCCCCATATAGTGCGGTAACACACAGTATAATGCATATTCCAATTCTCTAATGCAAATCCTCGTATGCGGCGTCTTTAGAGCATTCATTAATAATTAAATATCGCGTTGGGTCTAATGTGATTGTGTTCCCTCAAATAATAAGCTAAAGTAGGGGTTTACCCCTCGGCATATATATATTTTTCTTAATATTCATTGAACCCTTCATCCAAATTGGGCCAGGACCTGTTACGGTTCCGCGATGCTGACGGGCAGTTTTTCCTTTTTTTGTCAGGGCCAGCGGCAGGGATCACGCACCTCCTAACCGAACCGAGAGAGGGGAGGCCGTCGGGCTGAACGATAGAAGACTGCAATGTGCTACTGGCGGGTGGCACTGGGCAGGCTGCCTGAATCTCTCCACTGCTCTCTTTCAATCTTTTGATCTCATCGCGTTTTTTTCCCTTCTCTCGTAAAACACGGTTCACAGCCTCCTCGATAGGACCCCAGTCTCCGTGAGTAGCCCCGCCAGCTGACGGACTGGCGATGCGACCTACGGAAACCGTCCTCAGAGAAGCTCGTCTCTGCAAGCGCCGTGCAAACTGACACTTCGGCCGCCTCGACGTTTCGCGGCTCGTCAATTCCCATGAAACACACGGACCTTGTGCACTTTTCTCCGACCCGAATTACGCTGATGTAATCCGGGTACCTCCAGTGAAATTCGCACTGAGCACCGAGCTGGAGGGACTGCCCCGATGTTTTTGGGACTGCGAGCGACACTGATGTTAGTAGCCGGGCGGACGGGTGTTTTCCTAATGCGCTTTTAACCAAGGAGGGGTGCACCACTCCTCCAGCGGCGATCGCTGTACCCATCGGGGATAAACACGCAATTGTTTACGCTGCCAACCTAAACTGGGGGATCGGGAGTCAGCGCCTACAGTTTCTTTTTACAGATGCCGGGAGATAGATGTGTTTCTGGCGTTGCACTTATTTAAGTGTTTAGTTAGTACAACTTTGGTGGTACAGACCTGCCCCCGATCGGAAAGGGACATCAGGTTTGAGTGCGCCTCACCATCGCTCCCGTCCAGCGGCGCAGCGGAGAACTTCGCTCTCAGACGTTGTGCATCTGTTCGCCCGCGTGTTTTATGTCTTTTTTTGCCGGGTGGATTAACTTTACAGAACCTAAATGAAATTGTCAAAAACTGCTGGAGCTCGGTGTACGGCAATCCAGGCTCCCCCATGCTAGCGATACCGGGGATCCAAAGAAGAGAATGCGGTGCAGATCTTTCCTGGAATCGGCTGGTCGCAATCTCGTCGCCGCAGCGGGTAAAGCGGGTTAAGTGTTCCGAAGCGCCTCCTGCTCGTCTGCCTGCCCCAAAGACGGAGGAATGCTGTTCCGCGACCACCCAGCGCTCATTTTAAGTTTTTGGCGTTTTCTCTTCGGTCATTGGTTTCTCACGTCTTTCTTGCTCTTGTTGCAGGTGGGTCCTTCGCTTCCTCTCTTCTTCTTGCTTGTCTGAACTTTTATCTCGGGTCCCTCGCCGGATAACAGTGGGGCTTTCAGTGCGGCAACGGTGTTACTGTTGCGGAAATTAATTTGTAGCTTTGAGTCGTAACAATAAATTAATGGTGCGAAAAAGTGGAGGCTAGGTGACAGTAGGGTATTTTATTTTGAAAATAGCATAAATGTATTGCAGTCACACGTCAGTCGCTTTGTGTACTGAGTATAAATGTTTATGTTTGTAATTACCGCTTGGAATAAACTACAGTTAACGGTCTGCAGTATTTGTCAGTCTCAAACTTAATGCACAAACTGAGAGGAGTTTGGATTATGCGTATTTCGGGTTTCAGGAGAACTTATTTTGGGGTGGAAGGGAACTGTTGGCTTTTAGGAGCCGTAAGTGTTAGTTTGGGTTCCGGCCACTAAAGCCAATTTTATTAAAATCACGACACAGGGCTGCTTCGAAAGCGCCTTCAGAGCGCATGTAGCTGTAAAATCACCGCGAAATACGGTGTAATGTGTGTGTTAGTTCACCTTTCTGCCCGGCGCTCCGTTTGCTACGGCTGTCTGCGTCGCACCTCGGGAAACAACTGTGAAAACACCTAGATGTGGGACGCGTGTCACCTGAGATGTGTAAGCGGTTAGAAGTGCCTCTCAGACCCTGAGGGAATATGTGTGTGTGTGTGTGTGTGTGTGTTTAGCTGAAGCAGCTTGGTTTAAGAAAACACAGTGTGGAGTGTCCCGCAGCCTGGTTTAACCATAGGGATTTCAAAACCAGGGTTCTCCTCGGCATGCTCGTGGCCCAGCTGCCCTCTTCCTGGGAGGCGCCCACGCTGGCGGTGGGCGGCCCTTCAGAGGAGCGGCTCTCAGCCTGGGGTACTTCTGCTCCCTCTACGTAGGAGGAAACTCCTCTCTCCTATGAAGCACGGCGGTCACAGCATGCCCACAGTGGGCGGCCGGGGTTCCTTCACATACCAGAGCCTGGATGGTTTCTCCTGCACATTTTTTATTTTTTTTTGGGGGGGAGGGGTTATGTGATTCCCCTAACAGACCTTATCACACCGCTTTAGGTCTCAAGCACATGTTTTTGTCATTCAGGTTTAAGACTGCAGTCCATGTTGTTCCTGTACTTCTGTTTAGGCTCCAGTGGTTGGGCATTAATGTGACTGTAACCTCCCCCTCCCCCCCAGTGCACTCAAGGCGACCTCCAGAGGTCATGCTCGCGGACTGTGGCCGCGAAGGTGAGTGACACATGCCAGCTGGCCTGCCACTGTAGGCCCTACCCTCCGCTGCCCCCCCCACCACCACCGCCTCCACCTCCCAGGCTGCTCGTTTCCACAGGTAAGTGCCTCACCCGAAACAATGCTTCAGCCAGACTAAACTCCTCACGGCTTTCATGTTGGCATGCATCAATGATATCGTCTGTCCATGGTGATTGGATGAGGGCAGGCTGAATCCGCAGGAGCGGTGAGCCCTCGGCCTTATGGGTAGTGTGGGGGAGGGTGATGGCAAGCTGGGATTTTCTCCTGGTGGACCCCACAAGAGGACCTTTGTGCGGTGCTGGGCCTCGCTCTCCCAAGACGGCAGGCCGGGGGTGCACAGCGTCTGTGTTGTCAGGCACAGAAGACCCCTGAGGGCCAGCTTATTAAAAAGGAGACGGCTTAATTAAATTAGGGTTTCGAAACAAATAGGACCCTAATGAGCCAGGCTCTTGCCGGAGTGTGGGTTTTGGAGTTAAGCTGGCAGGGAGGAAGCTGCGTGAGATGGAACTGAATGGCTTTTAATGGCAAATAAGAAAGATAATTCCAGGGAATGCCATAATAAAACCCAGTTAAAGGGATGAGATTTTTTGCCCGTATAAAATCTGTTTTTCTGGTTTATTAAATTCTGTGTGTGGGGGAAGGTGGCTCAGCCGTATCTGTAGTAATATCAAGGTCCCCGATGATAAATATGGGGGGGCCATGAATCATGGTCTTCATGGCCCATGGGGCGCCAGTTGAATTTACACACGGGCTCGTCGGGGACTGTTGTTTTTAGTGCCTCTGTGGTTTACGAGCCGCCTCTCGATGGGAGGTGCATCCCTAGCTAAGCGCCATCGAAGTCCGCGGTCCCTGAAGGCGTAGAACCTTAAGCCACATGTGTGGGTCCGTTTTGGTTCTGACTCGATGACGCAAAGCTGGTCATGTATCATTGCATAGTGTACGCTTATCCGAGGGCACATTACAAAGCATGCATCTGCCCCGCATAGCTGTGTGAACGTACGTAATATCTCAATGAAAAAGGTGTTTTCATGTCATGAGGAAGGTGACCCCATACTGTCCCCTAAGTATCTCTGCTTCCCCGTTCCACCGCCCCCCTCAGATCACCTTGACGCACCGTTTTAGTTATGTATGCTGCTTGTGTTGTTTTTTTTTGTATCTGCTCGCTATGTTGTGCTCAGCTCTTGAGGCGGGAATCACGGCAAGCAGACACACTTGCCACTGGAGACCCCCAGCACCATGTCACGAAAAACAGAGCCAAGTTATGCATGCCTGTGAGCTCCTGCCTCCGCTGGGCTGTGATCTCACCGCAAACTCACCGGCCCATTCTGTGTACACTAAAGCATTTTTTGCCCCACATAAAACAAGTTAGCACATATAATGCACAATTCATCTGTTTGATCGATAGACCAGTTTAACATAAATACAGCTCTGGAAAAAAATTAAGAGCACAGCAATTTTCAGTTTCACTCATTTCTCAATTTATGGGTATGCGTCTGTGTAAAATATACATTTTTTTTTGCAAACCACAGCCTGGCACTTCCCTGCTTCTCATTGATGAAGGGCGTCTTCCCTGCTTCTCATTGATGAAGGGCGTCTTCCCTGCTTCTCATTGATGAAGGGCGTCTTCCCTGCTTCTCATTGATGAAGGGCGTCTTCCTTGCTTCCAGGAGCCTGTTACGATCCTGTCCTAACAGTGCACTTCACACCACTGACTGTCTCCCATTCTTTTTGAAGGTCACTTTGATGTCATCCTCCGACTCATGAGGCACTGCCGGATAATTTGACGGTCATCTCTGGCATTAGACAGTCACTTATGCCCAGTATCTGGCTGGTTTCTGGTCGTTCCCAGTGTCTCCTGCTTCACCTTGTTCTTGTGTCCTGCTGTCTTATAAATTTTGAGCCTGGAAGCAGCCTGCCTCGCAGTGTAGCCTTCTGCCAGCAGAACCAGGATTAAACCAGGATTTAGAAATGCAGATTTTAAAAAAAAAACAAAAAAAAAAAACAGAAATACGGGGTGGTCTCTTAGTTTTTCCAGAGCTGTATATGAATGACAGGAAATATTCATAATTTTGGTTTTTGAACAACAGAACATCAGGCAAAACAGGATTTGCTCTGGGTTACAGCGCGTGTCTGATCAAAGCGCAGAGGATGGAAGCGGTAGATTCCAGAAGGCTCGCTCTGGGGCCGTGTTTGTGCTGACTCTTAAAAATGAGTTTGGAACGTGCAAGGGGAAGGCTACCATGAGTGTGTGTCGAAAGGCTGACACTCGTTAAAGGGAGCTATGAGCAGGCAGCACCCTGATGTTGGTGTGAATGTGACCTGCCGGCTTGTCACCCTGAGTGGAATCTGTGCTCTGCCCGCCCCTAAGTCATACATCCGCTGTCAACCTTCGGGATTAAGGCCCTGTTTCAGTTCGATGGTACCATGCTAGGTATTCGCTAGCTGTGTCTCCGTATCTTTGTGTTGGCTGCAGAAGCTGGGCTGGATTTCATCTGTGCCCCAATCAGCCAGAGGCAGACTCGGCCATGTGTGGGGGGTTAGAAAAGTACCGCCGCCCCCCCCCCCCAAAAAAAAACACTCCAAAAATAGCAGAAAGCTCCGCTTTTGTCTGGCTCTAACTGGATGTCATTATTGGTGCACAAGAAGAGCCCAGATTGGCTACAGGGTTCTGGGAGTGAGCGGCACTGTGCCAGGCTCAGGAGAGGACAGACTGCATGCGCACGCACATGCGTGCTCTCTGCTGCCCCCTGCAGCCCTGCAGCATCAGAGGGTGCAACACGCTGGTGTGTACCTCTCTGTCTGGGGTCCCATGGCACCCAGTTTGCCGGAATGGGGCCTCATCAAGCATTTCGCTGTTTGACACAAGTGACTGACTACCATCTCTGCTGCGTCACGTTCAATACAGCCCAGACGCTCGTGTTAAAGGAGCAGCGCCACGCACATGTGCATCCAAAACGCCTTTCATGTCTGAAGATTCACAAAATCGAAGGATGAACGACTTCACGACTATGCCGGATGCAGATAAGCTACTATTTTTAGCTGATCATTTTTAGCTAAGATGCACTTATCCCCCTGCCCCTGTAATTACCGTAACAAAATTCTGATTAATTATTTTATCTCCCTTTTTAAGTACTTCTCCACATTATTTTTTTCGATACAGCCTGAAACATCCAAAAATATGAGGACATTTAATATTCAAAGGGCATGTTAAAACTGTAGAGTCATCCTCTTTGCTCTCGTGTGTTTATTATATTCTAGTGGTGCTGGAGCCCTGAATGGTGAAAGGTTTGTGAGGAGCTTTGAGGTGATGAGATGTTCTCCTTTACCTACCTACCGCTGGCTTGGTGCCTCCACTCTTCACCCAGCAGCTGAACACACGGGAGACTGATATTATGTGCCAATATTACTGCTTTCATGATGTTTGGAAGCTCTGGTCACAATGTCACAGGCTTACACTGGGAGAGACAGTGATTTTTAGCAGGAAATATACTGATTTTATTCTGAGAATCTTTGGCTTGTCTGTTTCAGGTGAAGCTGTCTGATGATGAAGGCGAACAGATCTTTGATGTTGAAGCAAATCAAAATATAAAGTTACGATTGCTTTGAATGTCACGATAATTTCGAACATGTTGGAATTAACAGTGGTGTGGCTGTGCTGTGGATAGCAGGTTCGTATCGCATCTCTGGAGACCAGGACTTGAGTTTCCTTCCCAGCTGTATGTGTGTGGAGCTTGCATGTTCTCCCCATGTCATCTTGGAGTTTCCTCTGCGTTCTCTGGTCTCCCCCCCCCACCAAGTCCAAAAAACAGGCTAAGGTGAATTGGAGTTGCCAAATTGTCTGTAGGTGTGTGAGTGAATGGTGTGTAAGTGAATGGTGTGTGAGTGAATGGTGTGTGAGTGAATGGTGTGTGAGTGAATGGTGTGTAAGTGAATGGTGTGTGAGTGAATGGTGTGTGAGTGTGCCCTGCGATGGGTTGGCACCTCATTCTGGGTTGTTCCCTGCCTTGTCCCATAGGCTCCGGACCCCCCCCATAACCCTGAATAGGACAAGCAGATACAGAAAATGGATGAATGATGGACTTGGAGTACAATTGTTATGAATTTGTATGTGCATTTGACTAGTTTTGTGATTTTTGTGTTCTGTCAGCTGAGCTCTGGTTGCTGAGCTCTGCTTGACTTTCTCTGATCAACCGTCTCTGCTTGGTTTCCTCTGATTGGCCATCACTGGTAAGCTCTCTTTAGTCGGTCATCTTTGGTTGGATGTCTATGGCCGTTTCTGGTTGGCTGTCTCTTGTTGCTTTCCTTTGACAGCTTCTTCCTCAAGGCAGCTGACCAGCAGCCCCACACACTAATCAATCCAGCAGTCTAATTCGGGTAACTCTTAGAATCAGCATTTATCTAGTGCTGTTTACAGATCGTCACTTATCACCGACCATCATCGAATCACTGGTGTTACGCCGGACCAGTGCAGAAGAAGGTCAAGATCGTTTGGATCTTGATTGGCTTCTGAGCTACTTTGCTTGTCATTTCATGGAAACACCCATCAAAATGGGTTAAAATGTCAAACACTGGTCACAGATGGCAATGGTAATTTCAGTTATTTTAACAAACTATGTTTACCATGTTATCCAGACTATTTTGGGACTGTGAGCATTTCTGCAGGACACACAAATCGCCCAGCAGCTCCAAGGATGCTACGCAGTCGGTTGATTTAAAAACATTTTTATTCCATTTCATTCTTAAAACTCGACAGTCCGTAATGATTGGAAAATGGCTGATTCAACTCATTTTTTAAATGACATCTCCTGGATTTACTGCAAAGCTCTGTATTATTTTCCATGCCCCCCCTAGCCATACTCCCCCTTGAAAGATTGGTTGGAACAATCAATTCCTGTTTGCCTGCCGTCTCTGGGTCGCTGTGGCTGCCTGATCCCAGCTCTGTGAAGACAAACAGCACAAATCATGGCTTCCCTGCTCTTCATGGCGAGGCCTGATTTTATGTAATTGCTTTAGAGGTCAAGTAAGGTTCAATTTCCAATAGTTTGCCCAAACCCCCCCCCCCCCCCTGTGAGGGTCACC